CGGCTTCTTAGGGAATATTTAGAGACTTCTGGGCCCAACTCCTTCTTCAAATAAGAGACAAAATCGCGTTTTCTTTATTTCCTTGACGAGCGGCGAGCGTCACTTCTCATGGTGTCGAGCGACACCAATGCACATGATTTGTCCTTCGCAAATTTGATCCTGATTTAGCTCCAAAGTTCTCCAAAATCACCAATTAAGCTCCAAACATACCTATGACCTGTAAAGACTCCAAAAGACTCAAAAAATACTAGAAAAACTCTATAAATAAGACCTATATCATGGTCAAAAACCATAAAAACCATGAGATATCAACTCCCCAGACTTAGCATTTGCATGCCCTCAAGCAAACAAAATACCAAATAAGAGAAAGAGGTTTGAGAAAAACACGGAGATTCAACTTTTCATTGGAACATCGCTTTGACCGATCACCTTGTAATTCAAACACTGCTTCATCATTCCAAATCGAACCACCATGTACTTCTCTGCAGACATTCACAGCTTTCCAAATTAAGTCCAAAATTCCACAACATTGTCCATAAACCCTCATCGCTGAGTCTCACTTATGATTCAGATGCCAAGAACCTTCTAGACTCTTTCCCGTACTATACTCAAACAAACCAGCCATATAATCCTTGGTACTTTTCTCTCCCCCAGACTTATTTTTTTTCGCACTTTCATCATCATTTTTTTAATGGCATATACGCGATAAGGTTAAAGCTGCGAGTATTGATGGTGTTTGCCATCGAATCCTCGATTTGTCCCCTTACCTTGTATGAAAGGTTTTCAGCGAATACTGGGGTCATAGGAAACTTTCCTACCCTGCTTCATTCCTTTGTGTGATCATTTTGATGCGAGTGTAAACGCGGGGTTGTTGTATTCGTTTTTACTAAGCTTCAGGTTTTAAATTTATAACCCCTAAATGTCTGCAAGTGCACAGATGTGCGCTGTAGTACTTAGGGTATCGATCAACAGAGACTTAGTTGTTTCAGTACGAATTCACGGCAACGCTTAAATCAGACTAGAACTAAACAATTTGGGTTTTGGGTTTTGGGTTTTGTCACAAAATCTAAACTAGAAAGCTAAACATGTAAAAGCAAATAAAAATGAAAGCAAGTGCAAGCAAGTAAAAATCGGTTATGAATGAAAGCAAGTAACAAGCGAATGAAAGCAGAATGGAAATCGAAGGTTGTAAGCAATGAAAGAAAAACGTTGGGGCTCAAGGGGTTTTCGCAGGGGTTCATGGACTAAGCTATGTCGATTTTAAACAAGTGATAAAGGTAATCAACTACGTATGTTCTAGAACTCGAGGCACAGAAGTATGAATAGCCTACTTTTGCAGCACTAAACAACTATTTCTCGCAACCCTAATCAGTAGGTTTCCACTCTGGTTCCGGAAGGGAGAAGATGCAATAGCAGAACAAGACTCATCAACATTCACAACTCAACTACAGGTAGGTTTCCACTCCTATAGAATCATTGCTCGTTTCACCCTAGTTCAGACAATCAATGAAAGCTTTCGCAACATATCATGTCAGATCGGCTTCTAAGTGGCCAGCAAAGAATCACGCAGTAAGATTAAAAGCAAACGAAGAACAACTAGAAGATTATAAATCATAAATCTATCGATTCATAAGCAAAGACACATGAAATTCCCTTTGAACAATCCCTTTAAACCCAACTGGGTAACTACTCAAACATATTGTAAACAATCATCACAGAATATTGAAAGTTGCAGGAAATTAAAGAGAACAGGGAAGAAAAACGAAGAACGGAGAAGCAGATGGAGGCGCGATGTCTTCCTCCAGCGACGGCTCCTCCTTCAAAAACGGCGGCCTCCCTCTCTAGGGTTTGAGTCTCACACGAAAATTTAAGTACCGAAAAGAACACACCCTTAAGAATGACCTAAAGGGGGTATTTATAGCTTCTGGAGTGGTCCTGGACACTTAGGGTTTCAAAAATAACGAAAGGAATTCATCTGGGCTTTAATTAAGTCGTCTGGAAAGTGAACGACCAAGTTCCGCGGTCGCGGTGGCTCTACCCGCGGGAAAATGGGTGTTGGCCGCGGTCCCGGCTCATGCTCTCTTCTGGAACTGCATTTTCTGTCATTTTTGCATCGGGAGTATCTGAAGATCTAACCGTTGGTTTGTCTCCAAACGAAGTGCATTAGAAAGCTGGTTGGATCCTCTATGTTGTCTCAATTTTTGGGGGTGATCGGACGGTGAGAAGGTCTTCATCGCTTGTCATACTTCTGACGGTTTGCATTTATCCAAAATTGCTCATTTGTTCCAAATTGCATATCTTTTGTCCAAGTTTCCTGTAAAGTCTTTTGAAATTCTAAAACATTGAAAACACTTTAAAAACATTGAAAACAGAGTTAAAAAACCTGCATAAGATACAATTATGATCCATAAAAGTGTTCAAAATACGGTGTTATCAACTCCCCCAAACTTACTTTTTTGTTTGTCTTCAAACAAACTTAAGTCAGGAAATAAATTTTTGAAAATCGCAGGAACTAAAAAATATCTCAGTGACCGTCCTTCTAAACCATAACTTATCATGAAACATCTATTTGGATCTATTCTAGAAAATTCTCACCAAAATACAAGCAAACTATTCCGTTAATCCGTCATGCGAAAATCTACACACTTAAATCTAACTTCCAGTCAACTAGCTCTCTACAGTCATTAAGTATATTGGTGAATTCTCATCAAATGCATTATTCAGGGTAGACGGCGTTTGGCATTAAGGCTATGTAAGTGGTGGAGTTAGGTGTTTAGGGTTACCTGAAGAATATGGAGGATGCAAGATATTATGCAAAACCGCAAGAGAGAGAAGGACCTGTTGATGACCGCAATTTTCAGTCATTTCTTCTTGCCAAATGTTGTTGCATAATCCTTCCTCCTTTGTTGTAAACAGCTATTCCCCCAGACTTAGATCTTTTCCGGGAATCATAAAGATAATCTCCAAAACTCTATATAATCGGACTCAAGCTTGCCTCAAGTATAAAATCCGATCCTCCTAGACTCTCTAAGGTTTTAAATTTCCTCTCCATTCTGTTTTTTTTTTAAAAAAAAAGAGGAAGCAACCTTTTATAGAGAGAAAGTCTAAGGGACGAAATTGTACCATGATTTTGAAGTTTTTCCACGGCAAACTGAGTTTTCTCCTTTTGTTGAATCATTCCAATGAAATCGCAGGTCTTCGTCTTCAGTTACTGAAAAATGCGTTGATCCTCTTTCTCTCCGACGTTTTTGCACATATCTACATATAGAACAATGAAAACAAGAGTGCATGTGGTTTGAAAGAGGTTAGGTTCGGTGGGGAACTAGCTAAAGATGAATTAGCCATTCAGGATCAACAAAGAGTGGTAAAAGGGTAAACAATCATCACAGAGTATTGAAAGTTGCAGGAAACTAAAGAGAACAGGGAAGAAAAACGAAGAACGGAGAAGCAGATGGAGGCGCGATGTCTTCCTCCAGCGGCGGCTCCTCTTTCAAAAACGGCGGCCTCCCTCTCTAGGGTTTGAGTCTCACACGAAAATTTAAGTACAGAAAAGAACACACCCTTTAGAATGACCTAAAGGGGGTATTTATAGCTTCTGGAGTGGTCCTGGACACTTAGGGTTTCAAAAATAACGAAAGGAATTCATCTGGGCTTTAATTAAGTCGTCTGGAAAGTGAATGACCAAGTTCCGCGGTCGCGGTGGCTCTACCCGCGGGAAAATGGGTGTTGGCCGCGGTCCCGGCTCATGCTCTCTTCCGGAACTGCATTTTCTAGCATTCTTGCTTCAGGAGTATCTAAAGATCTAACCGTTGGATTGTCTCCAAACCAAGTGCATTAGAAAGCTGGTTGGATCTTCTATGTTGTCTCACATTTTGGGGGTGATCAGACAGTGAGAAGGTTTTCATCGCTTGTCATACTTCCGACGGTTTGCATTTATCCAAAATTGCTTATTTGTTCCAAATTGCATATCTTTTGCCCAAGTTTCCTGTAAAGTCTTTTGAAACTCTAAAACATTGAAAACACTTTAAAAACATTGAAAACAGAGTTAAAACACCTGCATAAGATACAATTATGATCCATAAAAGTGGTCAAAATACGGTGTTATCACATTTCTACTTAGAAGTAAAATAATGGGATCCTTGGAAATTTTCCTAACCCTTCACTCCTAAAAGAAAATCATCTCAATCTTTTTGCCCTCTTCTTTCTTTCTTATTTATTTTTTTAGCTTGTCATAAGGGAGAGAAACACCAACATTAGATCTCACACAGGCTTACATTTGTCAAGTACGAACGAGGAATCAAGCTCTATGAACATCAGTCACATAAATGAGGTAAAAGAAAGAGTTCAGAAATTAGCTCAAGTTAGTGGACTTTGTTAGAAACATGGACGCCTCTAGTCAACTGGTCAGCCTTTGGATTTTTCATTAGTCGGATCTAGACTGAATCTGCAACAATGGTCACTTGGATGAAAGGTCAGCACAATAGTTCCAAAAAAAGCATCATAATCTCTAACAGGTTTTGACTCAAAAACAATTTGACACGACTGACTCTTAAGAAAAACAAACACAATGTCAGCGACTATCTCCCCAAGACTTAAACAACACTGTCCCCGATGTTATCTAGCCTAAGGTTGGTGAAACAAAAGAAAGGAAACAGAGAAACGCAGTAAAAACGGAGAACTTACCTACTTGCAACGATGGTGTCGACCGACACTGATGGTGGTGTCGTGCGACACTCTTTCTTCTTGTACCGAATTGCAGCAGACCTATCCGAATTTCTGGTTTGACTCCGGTGTCCTGATTTCCTTATTTTTTTTTTTACAGAAGCGAGTGACATGCGACACCGATGGTGGTGTCGCTCGGCACCAGCATCTGCTTCACCTAAAACACGAAAACAAAAAATGAAAATCAGCTGAAACAAAAAGACCTATGTACAGACTTACCAGTGGATCGCCTTCCACCAAGCGTTTGTTTATAGTCATTAGCTTGACTTGATGGAGATTCAGGCAGGAGGTGCACCATCCAGAGGTACTATGTGTCCATCTGAAATTGTAGCTTTAGCCCAGTAATGTTTCACCCTTTGTTCATTCACTGTGAACTCCCTGCTGCCATCTGGTGTGAGGAGGACGATGGCACCATATGGTCGAATCTCCTTGACTATGAAGGGACCTGACCAACGAGAACACAGTTTACCAGGAAATAATTGCAAATGGGAGTTATACAAAAGTACCTGGTCTTCGGTTTGAATAGCCTAGAGAGGATTTTTGAATCGTGATATGCCTTGGTCCTCTCTTTGTACAGCTTCGAGTTCTCATAAGCATGATGTCTGATTTTGTCCAACTCATTTAGCTGTATTAGTCTCCTCTCTGCAGCAGACTTGATGTCGAAGTTCACCATCTTTATCGCCCATGCTGCCTTGTGTTCGATCTCTACTGGAAGGTGGCAGGGCTTTCCGTAGAGCAGGTGAAACGGCGTGGTACCTAGAGGCGTTTTGAACGCTGTCCTGTAAGCCTAGAGTGCGTCGTCCAACTTCGCAGCCCAATCCTTCCGAGTTTTACCCACTTTTTTCTCCAAGATCTGTCGATTTGAGACTTCGACCTGTCCACTCGTCTGAGGGTGATAAGGAGTTGCCAATCGATGATGTACACCATGTTTCTTCAGAAGCTTCTCGAAAATCTTGTTAATAAAGTGAGAACCACCATCACTTATAAAAATTTGAGGCACTCCAAATCGAGGGAAGATAATGGTCTTAAACATCTTGAGAACGACTGAAAAATCATTGGTGGGACTGGCAATGGCTTCGACCCACTTAGAGACGTAATCAACAACAACCAAGATGTACTTATTCCCATAAGAAGAGAGAAAACGACCCATGAAATCGATACCCCAACAATCGAACACTTTAACTCAAGGATGAAATTATGTGGCATCTCATGTCGCTTGCTGATCTTTCCTCTCCTCTGACAAGCATCACACTGCGAGATAAAGGCATGCACGTCTCGAAACATTGTAGGCAACCAAAAGCCTGCTTGAAGAAACTTAGACACTGTTTTAAAGGCCGCGAAGTGTCCAGCATATTCAGATCCATGGTAATGAAACAGCAATTCTGGAACTTCTGACTCTGCAATGCATCTTCTGTAAATCCCATCAGAACAATGTTTGTATAGATATGGTTCGTCCCAATGGTATCTCCTTAGCTCTCTCAGGAACTTCTTCTTCGCATAGCCTTTAAAGTTCCCAGGCTCGGCCTCTGCAGAAAGATAGTTGGCAATATCAGCATACCATGGTCGTTTGGTGGAGATACAGCAGCTGAACTGATCTCAAGAAATCTGCCTCGAATTTGAGAATTCTCTGTGTTCTGCTGCGCAAGGTGTCGTGCAACACTAGTGGTGATGTCGCTCGATAGTAACGTTTCTCCAACTCGAAAAGCCTGCAATTTCTTCATCAATTCTGCTCTGAAACCCAATTTCCACATAGTAAACATTCTCTTCTGGCAGAAAATCATCTATGGGTACGTCATCTTCAACCCTGATGCGCGAGAGATGGTCTGCGACACCATTCTCTACTCCCTTCTTGTCCTTGACCTCAATGTCGAATTCGTGAAGTAAGAGAACCTTGGCTCCGCATCCTTCTTCTAAATCAAGTATTTGAGCGCAGAATGATCTGTGTGCACAATCACTTTCGATCCCACCAGGTAAGGTTGAAACTCTTCGAATGCAAAAACTATAGCGCCAACAACTCTTTTTCGGTGGTTGCATAATTTCTCTGAGCATCATCCAGAGTTCGGCTGGCATAATAGACTGCATGAAGTTTCTTGTCCTTCTTCTGTCCCAGTACAGCTCCTACTACGAAATCACTGGCATCACACATCACCTCAAAAGGCAAATTCCAGTCAGGGGGATGCACAATAGGAGCGCTTATCAACGCCTGTTTGATCTGTTCAAAAGCTGCAAGACACTCAGCTGTGAACTCAAACTTGAAGTCTTTGGAAAGCAGCGCAGTAAGTGGTTGTGCGATTTTGCTGAAATCCTTGTCGAATCTTCGATAAAATCCAGTATGTCCCAAGAAACTCCTCACTGATTTCGCAGAATCTGGTGGTTGCAAATTTGTCATGACATCGATCTTCGCACGATCTACCTCGATCCCAGCTTCTGAGACTCTGTGCCCAAGAAAAATGCAATCTCTGACCATAAAATGACACTTTTCCCAATTAAAGACCAAGTGCTTCTCTTCACATCGAGCTAATACCTTGCACAGATTGTCCAGACAGTCTTTAAAGGATGATCCGTAAACTGAGAAATCATCCATAAAGACTTCAATAAAATCCTCAATCATCTCAGTGAAGATGGACATCATACAGCGCATGAAAGTTGCAGGAGCATTACAAAGTCCAAAAGGCATTCTGCAATATACGAAAATGCCGTATGGACATGTAAAAATGGTCTTCTCTTGATCATATGGGTGGATGGGGATCTGTAAAAACCCTGAATACCCATCGAGAAAGCAGTAATATGGATGATTTGTTAATCTCTCCAGCATATGATCGATGAAAGGTAGGGGAAAGTAATCTTTCCTGGTTGCTGCGTTTAGCTCCCGGTAATCGATACAGATCCTGTGTCCAGTCACTGTTTGCATCGGGATCAGCTCATTCCTCTTATTCTTCACAACTGTGAATTTTTCTATCTTAGGAACCACATGCACTGGACTGACCCAAGCACTATCTGAAATCGGATAGATGATCCCAGCTTCCAGCAGATTCATGATCTCCTTCTTCACCACTTCTTGCGGATTTGGATTCAGCCTCCTCTGGTGCTCAATCGAAGATTTCGTCTCATCCTCCAGGTGAATTCGATGCATGCACAAGTCCGGAGAGATACTTGAATTGTCATTAAGAGAATAGCCAAGAGCTTTACGAAACTTGCGCAGCTTGCTTAGCAGTAAGGTGAGCTCTGCGTTGTTTAGGGAAGCATTAACAATAACAGGATAAGTAGAATTAGGTCCCAGGAATGCGTACCTTAGCCCTGCAGGAAGTTGTTTGAGTTCAAGCTTAGGAGCTTTTTCTTCACTCCAGTCGCTGAGCTTTTTGGCCTTTGCAGGAACTTCTATCGGTTCCTCATGAGCTACCAACTGCATCACTTGCTCGCGATCATCCAGCATCTTGACATATGATGCTGTAATCTCGTCCAGGTGCTCTGCTTCAGACACAGATGAGATCAGAGCTCTCTCCAATGGATCCGCAGGGTGCATCTCGTGGAACATCTCCTCTGCGAATTCAGTGAGTGTGTCGACATAGAAGGTTTAATCATTGATGTTAGGCTTCTTCATCAGCTTGTTCATGTCAAAGTTCATGACCAAATCTCCAACATTCAAAGCAATTCTTCCCTTCCTCACATCGATGATAGCACCTTCAGTCGCTAGAAAAGGTCTCCCAATGATAAAAGGGTCCTTGGTTTCCTCTCCATATTCCAAGACGATGAAATCGGTTGGTATCATGCAATCTCCAACCTTGATCAAAACATCTTCCAGCACTCCTTCAGGTATCCTCGTCGATCCATCAGCTAGGATAAGAGAAATCCTAGTTGGCTTGAAATCAGTCATGCCAAGGTTGACAGCTACTGAGTACGAAATGAGATTGACACTTGAACCCAAATCACACAGCGGTCTCTTGAATCTCTCCGTGAAGATGGAGGAATCAAGACAAAGCTCCCTAGATCAGACAACTTCCCTGGAATCCTATTCTGAATCAAAGCACTGACTTGCTCAGAAATCATCATCACTCCCTGTTCATTGCTGAGATTTTTGGTCACCATCCTCTTCACATAGTGTCTGATGACAGGAGTGATCTTCACAGCATCAACCAAAGGTATCTCAATCACAAGCTTTTCTATCAAAACCTTGCACCTTGCATCATCTAGCTCCTGCTTGGATTTCCTAGGGCTCCTTGGGTAAGGAATCTTAGGTTTGTAAACCTTTTCCTCTGCAGATTTCAGACTTGGATCAATATCAGCTTCGCTCTGCAATTGGTGACGCGCGATACTAGTTGCGGTGTCGCTCGACACCGGCTCTGCAACTTCAAGATCTTCCAAATAAACGACTTCAGCAGCAGGAGACGTCTTTTTGGGCTCAGGGGTCAAATGTTCACCACTTCTCAACGTGATAGCACTGCAGTGATGCCTTGGATTGGTGCCAGTCTTTCCAGGAAGAAAACCTTCTTATCGTTTCACAGAACCTGCAGTTTGAGCAACCTGCGTATCGAGCTGCTTGACATGGCTGTTCAAAGCTTTGATTTTTCCCATTCAGATCAAGGTAGAGAGCATCGTCTTTCCATTAAAGTCCACTGTGAGCTTCTGCTGTCCTTCCAGAATCTGTTCCAGGATAGACTTCACCTCATTGTCAGGAGTTTGAGTTTGAGTTGGAGGAGTGCCGTAGTTTCTGGAAAATATTTTTTTGGAATAAGACTTCTAGTATTGAGGCTTAGGCGTGTAACCAGAGAAGTTCTGATTACTGGTGAAGGTGCTCCTATGATTATTTTCACTGAAGCTTTTGTTACTTTGCTGATTACCAAACCTCTGACCTTGAAACCCTGATCCATGGACAAAGTTGACATCTTCCTCCTCAACTTCATCCTCTGGTTCAAAACTTTCCACTTCATGAGCAAATCAGACAGACTTCTTACCCACTAGAAGGATATGCACAGAGTCAAGCTTAGCCTTAACTTCAGCAATCTGCGATCCATCCATGTTCTCAGCCCGCTTCTTTCGCTCATAATCAGCATTTTTGGTACTATTGCTAGATGCCAAGTTTTCGATGAGCACAACAGCTTTGTCAGGGTATCTAGTGTTGAAATTCCCATTGCTTGCTGCATCCAGAGCCATCCGATACCTCCAATCAACACCTCTGAAGAAAATACCCAACAATTGCACATCGCTGAAACCATGATGGGGGCAATCTCGCTAGTACGATTAGAATCTCACCCAAACAGCTTTAAACGCCTCAGTTGGTCCTTGAGAGAATGTCAAGATTTTGAGTCTCAACTCTTCAGACCTGGCATCATCATAGAAGTTGTGCAGGAAGGCGTTCCTGGTCTCCTCCCAGGTAGTAAGTGATCCTGGTTCCAACTGCTTCAGCCAATTAGCTGCTTCTCCAGCAAAAGAATAAGGAAACAGCTTGCAAAAAAGGAAATTATTGGACACTCCATTGTATTTGATGCTGGTGACCAAGTCCTCAAACTTCTTAATGTGATCCATAGGGTGCTCATGAGAGTTACCATGAAAAGGATGCTGACCCACAAGAGTGTAGTACACAGGTTTCAGCTCGAAATCGTTCCTTTGAAACGCAGGGGCTCGAATCGCAGACCGATTTGCATAGAACTGCTCAGGCCTGTTGTAATCTCCAAGTGTTCTTTCTCGAGCAGCTACAAGTGCAGGTTCCCTCACATTCTGATCTTCTAGAACGTTCCTCTGATTTGGAACGATCACAACATTTGCGGTGTTACCACGCGGTGCAGGTAGTGGATTTGTGTTAACAACATCCACCGGTAAAGGTGCCGGTGGGATGATGTTTCCATTTCCATCAAGTCTTTGGCCTCTCTAATTGCACACATGACCCTCTTGGTCTCTCCAGATTCCAGCATCATATCGAATAAGCTCGTTTGCGTTTTCCATCTCTGCCGGTTTCTTTGCTTTTCTGTTCGTTCGCTTTAACTCTGCTAGCTCCTTGTTGTTCAAATTCACTAGCAGGATGTCCTTGTTGCTTCTGGTTCCGCGAGTATGCATACACCTGAAACACAAAAGACGAAGAGAGAAAACGAAATAAGTAAATTAGGTTATAAAACGAAAAGTGTCGAGCAACACCACAAGTGCTGTCGCTCGACACTAAGAAAAACTTAGTCGAAACTCAAAAACTAAGGTTTAATGGTGAAATCAAGTCCCCAACAACGGCGCCAAAACTTGATCTGCTCAAATTTTAATCCCTAAGCTACTCTACAAGAGCACAGATGGGCAGTTGTAGTATTTCATGGGTCGAACCACAGAGACGAGAAATTCACTCAATAAACCTTTTAGAATTAAATTACGCTAAGAAGAATAATGCAAATTAAAATAACAAAGCAGTAGAAAGGCAGTAAAAACGTTTTTTAAACTCGAATGGATGGGAATTAGGCTTAGGGCGTTTCTAAGGAAATCAAAGAATGCAGATCAATCGATTAGTCAAGATTCAGGTTTAAGTACGGTTCTTGAACTCAAATCACGAAATTATCATTAACCAACTTTCGTTGTTAGAATTCTCTAAGTAAAAATCCTAGAATTCTAAATTCCTTTGCAAACCCTACAGATTTAAACCAGCTTTAATGCTCAATTTCGATATGTTCACATAGTATATAAACCAAATTCCTTTGCGAATAGCTACTTTGCTCACCCTAAGTTCTTTCCAGTTATTCAATTACACTTCCGTGTCAATTAAGCAACCTAAGATCTAAGTTCTAGGTGATCAGTCCAGAATTAGCTTTAAGAACAACCTACGGTGAAGAACTAAATAAGATATGAACCCTAACTAACCAGTCAATCCAACATTCAGTGAAATCCTTTATGAGAACCCTAAACCTAAAAAGCTAATTACTCAGACATGGATATTGAGACAACACACATGATTGAATAGATTGCAAAATAAGATGAATATAACAAATAAAGGGGTTCAAAATCTTCTCTCTAAACGAACACAGTTCAAACTTGTCTCCCCAAGCTCTCAAAATCGCAAAAAGCCTAAAACATAAGATATCTCTCTCTCCAGAATCCAAAGTATCGATGAAAAGAGAATAAAAACCCTATTTATATCTCAAAAACACGTATTTGGCTTCTTAGGGAATATTTAGAGACTTCTGGGCCCAACTCCTTCTTCAAATAGGAGACAAAATCGCATTTTTCTTATTTCCTTGACGAGTGTCGAGCGTCACTCCCTTTGGTGTCGAGCGACACCAATACACATGATTTGTCCTCTGCGAATTTGATCCTGATTTAGCTCAAAAGTGCTCTAAAATCACCAATTAAGCTCTAAACGTATCTATGACCTGTAAAGACTCCAAAAGACTCGAAAAACACTATAAAGACTCTATAAATAAGACATATATCATGATATATCAGAGTTTGATTTGTTCTTTAAGATACCATACTTGATTTCAGTTCAATTTTTTTATTGTCTTTTAACATTAGAAACTGAAGGCTTTTTCTTTGTTTTACGGTTGTAGTGTATTAGTGCACCAACATTGGAGGAGTACAATAAGCACATTGAGAAAGATCCAGCACCTGATGGATGTTGCTTTTGGTGAAGGAATTTTGGTGAAGGAATGTAGGCAAGTAGCTTGTTGATCATCTCAACTTTCATGTAGTCAACTATTTATGTAAACTACAATTATATATCTTTTGATGATTTATGGAATGAACATGTTTTTAAAACAAGTTCTGTATACATAAGGTAAAAAGTGACCAAATATATTAAAATAATATAGCAAATCATCATTTGTGATGTAGCACGTAAAAACTGCTACAACACAATAAAACAGCACTAAATATGTATTATAAAAAATATATTAAAACATTTGATTAGGGTTATACTAGAAAACCCTCTAATAGCATAAGTTAAATCGCTATCGAGTAGCGCTATAATACGTAAAATTTATTATAGGTTCTGTTGTCCTAGCGTTCATGATAACGCTATAAGCGCTTTCGTATATTATTAATATCCATATTTGTTGTAGTGAGTAATTCTCTTAATTTTCTTTTTGTTAAGTATCTTCCAACAATAGATACATAATGTAATACACAATTGGACAATGAAGTGTGTAGAAATAAAAATAATCCATTTTTAAAATCTATAACAAAGTGTACTTTCACAAAAAATTTGTGATCTTCGAAATAATATACATGTTAAAACTTTATTTTTGTTGAGTTTCTTCTAACTATAGATACATGATACTACACACAATAGGACATTTTGAAAAATGTTTAGAAATACAAAACTAGTCCATCTCTAAGATCTATAAAAAAATGTATTTTCATAAAAATATTATAATCATCGAAATAATATACATGTTAAATCTTTATTTTTGTTGAGTATCTTCCAACTATAGATACATGATACATTATACTATATGTATATCATAAAAAAATATCAAAGATTTAGAGAAATGTTCATGGGTAACAATTTAAATATTGAAATGGGTGGTGATAAAAAAGCATAAAAGTGAATTTAAATTGCCAATCAATTATTTATAATCATTTTTCTTGGTATTTAGATGTATCAAATAAAATGATAGTTAAACATATAGATATAGCGAAATCATTCGAAATAGATTAGTAACTCTGATAATTTTTGAAAACACTAGAAATCCATAAAATAATAGTAAAATTATTCATAAAAGTGAATTTAAATAGCCAATCAATTATTTGTAATTATTTTTATTGGTATTTAGATGTATCAAATAAAATGATAGTTAAACATATAGATATAGAAAAATCATTCAAAATAGATTAGTAACTCCGATAATTTTTGAAAACACTAGAAATCCATAAAATAATAGTAAAATTATTCATTTAATTTAATATGTTAAATAAAAAAATTCTTCGTAAAATCATAGGTCTACACAAAAAACTCTATATAATGATCAATAAAAAAAAAACCTTTGAACTTTAATAACAATAAGATATGTTTTAAAAAATATATAATTAACTTAACCATGTAAACACTAGAAAGCCATGAAAAATAGTAAAATTATTCATTTGTTTTAATATTTTAAATAAAACAAAATTTTATTAGTAAAATCATAGGTCCATCGTAAAAACAAAACCTCTATATAATGATCAATTAAAAAAACTTTAAACATACATAACAATAAGCTATGTTTCAAACAAAAAAAAATCTAAAAAACTTAACCAACCACAGCGAATCCTAAAACCTAATCAAGAAAACAGATACATCAAATAAAAACATTACACGTGTTAGTTCTATCTAAATCTATGCTACATCACAGATATTTTTCTATATAGACATGGTTAAAAACATAATTCCAAAAGCTTAGCTAATTAGGAAGATTATATTCCTTAACAGAAGATATATGTGCATGAATAATCCCATTTGGCTACTAATTTACTCTATAAATTCATTGCTACTAATTTACCCTAGTTTGACCGTGCAAATTAATTAGGATAATCCAAAATTACCATTTGAAACACATCTATTTCACTCCAAAGGATTTACATAAGATTAAAAAGAGAACCTTCAATGCATGAAGTATATATACACATACATATCCATATATATACACATACATATGCATATACATATAACATATACACAGGCCTCCTCTTCCCTGTGTTGCTCGCTAGCTTTAGCCTTTGGTTTTTACGGGTAACCTCTTTCGCTTCTCAAACTATTTGTATCTGAGAGAGAGAGATAACAGAGATAAAGCCATAGAGATAGAGCAAGAAAGATAAGAGAGATCCAAACCAGAAGCAATCTTCTCCATTTGCTTTTTTTGTTTATTTCTCTTTTTTTCGTTTGAAGATTGTTATCTCTTTTCTCTGGCAAACATACAAGTTCGCTTTTGTCCTAGATTGTGATCCGGTCTCTACAAGGTCTGAGAAATATCAGAAATCTCCTCTTTTTTTATTTGTTCCTCTTATCTCTGATTTTTGTGTGTCGATTATCAGAGATAGATCTGGTTTTCTATTTGGTATTAGAGGGAAAAAAATTTGAATTTGTGTTTTTCTCGAATTTCGAGTGGTTTCAGGTTACAGTGAAAAACGTGAATCTTTGTTTAATTGTGTAATACGTTGAAGCTCAGGACCTACCGTTTCGTCTCGAGGAGAAACGTAAGCTCTTGTGTTTTTGATTTGTGTTCTTTTCAAATTCTGCTTTTTTTGTTTGTTTGTTTGTTTAAAATGATATTAGTTTGATTTTTCTCTCTTGAGGTCTAAAATTTTTATTTAGGTTAATAACCATTACCATATAGGCTTAAACAAAATTTCAAATGTTAAATTTATGTTTGTGTGATGCAGAAATGGTAAGCTACTAACGATGAGTGGAGGAGGAGGAAATATGGGAGGGCTAATAATAACTGTTGCCTTGAGCTATCTCAAAGCTTGAAGGATATGTTTCAAGACAAGCAAGAGAAGTATGACACTTTCCTTGAAGTCATGAAAGACTCTAAAGCTCAGAGGTAATTGATGCCTTTGCTCTCTCTTCTATTTTGTTCATTCTTCTTACAACAGGGAATGTGCTCAGAGGTAATGTATTATTAATATCCATATTTGTTGTAGTGAGTAATCTTTCCAACTTTATTTTTGTTGAGTATTTTCCAACTATATAAATATGATATAACACACAATAGAATTTTTTGAAAATGTGTAGGAATAAAAACTAGTCCATCTCTAATATCTATAAAGAAGTGAATTTTCAAAAAAAAAAAAAAACTTCATGATCTTTGAAATAATATACATGTCAAAACTTTATTTTTGTTTTAGTATGTTCTAACTATATATGCATGATGCATTATATTGGCTATAGGTTTATATCTTTGACGGTAGGTTTATATTGGCTATAACTTTATTTCTTTGACGGTAGGTTTATATTGGCTATAGTATATCTATAGTACTGGTTTAGTAGATTTATTTATAATGGTGCTAGATATTAAACTGTGTAACATCACATTTCATGTAAAAAGAGAACCAGTGAACAAGCACACCTGAGATATCACCATGCTCAAACGAGAGTACAAAACCAGAGAGACGCGGTAAGTTATTCAAGTTTCAACCAGAAATTATGTATTGGTATATATCATTCTTTCCGGTTAAAATTTCCACACTTTTGTAAAATCCGCTTCCAGGTACTTCATTCTCCAAATCGGCTCCATAGTATACCTGCTACAAGAATCAAATACCAAAACTGCTAGGCAAAAAACAAATCTGGTTTTCATGTTCGTTCTTGAGTGAATTCAATACAAACCAGATTTGTTTGTGCCTAACAGTTTTGTGATTTGATTCTTGTTGGAGGTATACTAGGGAGCGGATTTGGAGAATGGAGTACTTGGAAACAGATTTTACAAAGGAGTGAAAATGTTAACCAGAAAAAGTGATATAGACTAATATAATATATAATTTCTGGAGAACTTGAACAATTTACCGCGTCTCCCTGGTTCTGTACTTTCGTTTGAGCATTGTGATATCTCAAATGTTCTCACGCTGATTCTCTTCTTACAGTAAATGTCTTGTTACACAGTTTATATCTACCACCATTAGAAATAAATCTATTAAACCAATATAAATCTACCATAGCCAATACATATCTACCATCAAAGAAATAAAATTTCAGTCTCGAAAAAGAAGATTGATATGTCTGTCACCATTTGAAAAAAGTCTACTATTTTTAAAATTAATCTACTACCATTATATATATATATCTACCAAAAATTCAAATATTTACCATAAACCATGGTTTAATCGTAAAGTCTACCAAAACACAAAAAAAAATATGCTATCAAAGAAAATAAATCTACCAAAAAACCATATATCTACCGAGTCGTTAAAATATGTCTACCAAATAAGTCTACCAAAATTATACAAAACTACAATCAATCAAACAAATTTTACTATTAGATGTATCAAATAAAATTATAGTTAAACATATAGATATAGCGAAATCATTCGAAATAGATTAGTAACTCTGATAATTTTTAAAAACACTAGAAATCAATAAAATAATAGTAAAACTATTCATAAAAGTGAATTTAAATTGCTAATCAATTATTTATACTCATTTTTATTGGTATTTAGATGTATCAAATAAAATGATAATTAAACATATAGATATAGCAAAATCATTCAAAATAGATTAGTAACTCCGATAATTTTTGAAAACACTAGAAATCTATAAAATAATAGTAAAATTATTCATTTAATTTAATATGTTAAATAAAAAATTTCTTAGTAAATCATAGGTCTACACAAAAAACTCTATATAATAATCAATAAAAAGAAACCTTTAAACTTTAATAACAATAAGATATGTTTTTAAAAAAATATAATTAACTTAACCATGTAAACACTAGAAAGCCATGAAAAATAGTAAAATTATTCATTTGTTTTAATATTTTAAATAAAAAAAAAATTTCTTAGTAAAATCATAGGTCCACCGTAAAAAAAAAAACCTCTATATAATGATCAATGAAAAAAACTTTAAACATTAATAACAATAAGCTATGTTTCAAGACAAAAAAAAAAATCAAAAAACTTAACCAACCACAGCGAATCCTAAAACGTAATCAAGAAAACAGATACATCAAACAAAAACATTACACGTGTTAATTCTATCTTAATCTATGCTACATCACAGATATTTTTCTATATAGACATGGTTAAAAACAGGTCATAATTTCAAAAGCTTAGCTAATTAGGAAGATTATATTCCTTAACAGAAGATATATGTGCATGAATAATCCCATTTGGCTACTAATTTACTCTATAAATTCATTGCTACTAATTTACCCTAGTTTGACAGTGCAAATTAATTAGGATAATCCAAAATTACCATTTGAAACACATCTATTTCACTCCAAAGGATTTACATAAGACTAAAAAGAGAACCTTCAATACATGAAATATATATACACATACATATCCATATATATACACATACATATGCATATACATATAACATATACACAGGCCTCCTCTTCCCTCTGTTGCTCGCGAGCTTTAGCCTTTGGTTTTTACGGGTAACCTCTTTCGCTTCTCAAACTGTTTGTATCTGAGAGAGAGAGATAACAGAGATAAAGCCATAGAGATAGAGCGAGAAAGATAAGAGAGATCCAAACCAGAAGCAATCTTCTCCGTTTGCTTTTTTTGTTTATTTCTTTTTTTTTTCGTTTGAAGATTGTTATCTCTTTTCTCTGGCAAACATACAAGTTCGCTTTTGTCCTAGATTGTGATCCGGTCTCTACAAGGTCTGAGAAATATCAGAAATCTCCTCTTTTTTTATTTGTACCTCTTATCTCTGATTTTTGTGTGTCGATTATCAGAGATAGATCTGGTTTTCTATTTGGTATTAGAGGGAAAAAAATTTGAATTTGTGTTTTTCTCGAACTTCGAGTGGTTTCAGGTTACAGTGAAAATCGTGAATCTTTGTTTTATTGTGTAATTAATATTCCGGTGAAAAGAGATGAAGAGGGTTAGAGAAGAGGTCTACGTTGAAGCTCAGGACCTACCGTTTCGTCTCGAGGAGAAACGTAAGCTCTTGTGTTTTTGATTTGTGTTCTTTTCAAATTCTGCTTTTTTTTGTTTGTTTGTTTGTTTATAAGGATATTAGTTTTATTTTTCTCTCTTGAGGTCTAAAATTTTTCTTTAGGTTAATAACCATTACCATATTGGCTTAAACAAAATTTCAAATATTAAATTTATGTTTGTGTGATGCAGAAATGGTAAGCCACTAACGATGAGTGGAGGAGGAGGAAATATGGGAGGGCTAACAATAACTGTTGCCTTGAGCTATCTCAAAGCTTGAAGGATATGTTTCAAGACAAGCAAGAGAAGTATGACACTTTCCTTGAAGTCATGAAAGACTCTAAAGCTCAGAGGTAATTGATGCCTTTGCTCTCTCTTCTATTTTGTTCATTCTTCTTACAACAGCGAATGTGAGGTAATGTATTATTAATATCCATATTTGTTGTAGTGAGTAATCTTTCCAACTTTATTTTTGTTGAGTATTTTCCAACTATATAAATATGATATAACACACAATAGAATTTTTTGAAAATGTGTAGAAATAAAAACTAGTCCATCTCTAAAATCTATAAAGAACTGAATTTTCAAAAAAAAAAGAAACTTCATGATCTTTGAAATAATATACATGTCAAAACTTTATTTTTGTTTTAGTATGTTCTAACTATATATGCATGATGCATTATACAATAGGTAGAGAATGTTCATGGAAAAAAATTTATATGGTAAAATAGGTAGTGAGAGAAAAACACAAAAGTGAATTATTAGATTGTCAATCGATTGTGAAAGTTTTATTTATAATCATTTATCTTGGTGTTCAGATGTATTAAATCAAATGATAAAACATAGATATAACAAAAGGATTTGAAATAAATTTGTAATTTTGAAAAGTTTTAAAACACTAAAAAGCAATGAATATATCAAAAGTTATTAATTTCAGTTAATATATCAAATTAAAACAAAAATTTCTAAGTAAAATCATAGGTCCACAAAAAAACTCTATTTCATGACCGATAATTTTTTTGAAAAACATTAATAACAATAAGCTATGTTTAAAAAAAAATATCTAAAACTTAATCAACCCTAGAAAATCCATTATATTGACTTTGTGTTGAGAAACTTAACCAACCCTAGAGAATCCATTGAATTTGTGTTAAGAATGAGTTCCTCTGGCTCGCCTTCATCTCTCAATCAGTTTTGACCAAAGAAGAGAAATTTGGTTGTGTTTTGGTAGACTTTATGATTAAACCTTTGGCTTACGGTAAATTTTTGATTTTTTTTGGGTAGATTTATATACAATGCTGGTAGATTAATTTTAAAAATAGTAGACTTATTTCGAGATTGTAACTTTATTCCTAATTATGGCAGACATATCTACTTTTTCGAGACTGTAACTTTATTTCTTTGACGGTAGGTTTATATTGGCTATAATATATCTATAGTACTGGTTTAGTAGATTTATTTATAATGGTGCTAGATATTAAACTGTGTAACATCACATTTCATGTAAAAAGAGAACCAGTGAACAAGCACACTTGAGATATCACCATGCTCAAACGAGAGTACAGAACCAGAGAGACGCGGTAAGTTGTTCAAGTTTCAACCAGAAATTATGTATTGGTATATATCACTCTTTCCGGTTAACATTTCCACTCCTTTGTAAAATCCGCTTCCAGGTACTTCATTCTCCAAATCGGCTCCATAGTATACCTGCTACAAGAATCAAATACCAAAACTGCTAGGCAAAAAACAAATCTGGTTTTCATGGTCGTTCTTGAGCGAATTCAAAACAAACCAGATTTTTTTGTGCCTAACAGTTTTGTGATTTGATTCTTGTTGCAGGTATACTATGGAGCGGATTTGGAGAATGGAGTACTTGGAAACAGATTTTACAAAGGAGTGAAAATGTTAACCAGAAAAAGTGATATAGACTAATATAATATATAATTTCTGGAGAACTTGAACAATTTACCGCGTCTCCCTGGTTCTGTACTTTCGTTTGAGCATTGTGATATCTCAAATGTTCTCACGCCCTGGTTCTCTTCTTACAGTAAATGTCTTGTTACACAGTTTTATATCTACCACCATTAGAAATAAATCTATTAAACAAATATAAATCTACCATAGCCAATACATATCTACCATCAAAGAAATAATATTTCAGTCACGAAAAAGAAGATCGATATGTCTGTCACCATTTGAAAAAAGTCTACTATTTTTAAAATTAATCTACTACCATTATATATATATGTATCTACCAAAAAGTCAAATATTTACCATAAACCATGGTTTAATCGTAAAGTCTACCAAAACACAAAAAAATATGCTATCAAAGAAAATAAATCTACCAAAAAACCATATTTGTCGTTAAAATATGTCTACCAAAATTAAACAAAACTGCAATCAATCAAACAAATTTTACTATTAGATGTATCAAATAAAATTATAGTTAAACATATAGATATAGCGAAATCATTCGAAATAGATTAGTAACTCTGATAATTTTTAAAAACATTAGAAATCCATAAAATAATAGTAAAACTATTCATAAAAGTGAATTTAAATTTCCAATAAATTATTTATAATCATTTTTATTGGTATTTAGATATATCAAATAAAATGATAATTAAACATATAGATATAGCAAAATCATTCGAAATAGATTAGTAACTCCGATAATTTTTGAAAACACTAGAAATCCATAAAATAATAGTAAAATTATTCATTTAATTTAATATGTTAAATAAAAAAAATTCTTAGTAAAATCATAGGTCTACAAAAAAAAACTCTATATAATGATCAATAAAAAAACCTTTAAACTTTAATAACAATAAGATATGTTTTGAAAAAATCTAATTAACTTAACCATGTAAACACTAGAAAGCCATGAAAAATAGTAAAATTATTCATTTAATTTAATATTTTAAATAAAACAAAATTTTATTAGTAAAATCATAGGTCTACCGTAAAAAAAAAAACCTCTATATAATGATGAATTAAAAAAACTTTAAACATTAATAACAATAAGCTATGTTTCAAAACAAAAAATCTAAAAAACTTAACCAACCACAGAGAATCCTAAAACCTAATCAAGAAAACAGATACATCAAACAAAAACATTACTCGTGTTAATTCTATCAAAATCTATGCTACATCACATATATTTTTCTATATAGACATGGTTAAAAACAGGTCATAATTCCAAAAGCTTAGCTAATTAGGAAGATTATATTCCTTAACAGAAGATATATGTGCATGAATAATCCCATTTGGCTACTAATTTACTCTATAAATTCATTGCTACTAATTTACCCTAGTTTGACCGTGCATATTAATAGGATAATCCAAAATTACCATTTGAAACATATCTATTTCACTCCAAAGGATTTACATAAGATTAAAAAGAGAACCTTCAATGCATGAAGTATATATACACATACATATCCATATTATACACATACATATGCATTATAACATATACACAGGCCTCCTCTTCCCTCTGTTGCTCGCGAGCTTTAGCCTTTGGTTTTTACGGGTAACCTCTTTCGCTTCTCAACCTATTTGTATCTGAGAGAGAGATAACAGAGATAAAGCGATAGAGATAAAGCGAGAAAGATAAGAGAGATCCAAACCAGAAGCAATGCTTTTTTTGTTTATTTATCTTTTTTCATTTGAAGATTGTTATCTCTTTTCTCCGGCAAACATAGAAGTTCGCTTTTGTCCTAGAATGTGATCCGGTCTCTACAAGGTCTGAGAAATATCAGAAATCTCCTCTCTTTTTTTTTGTTCCTCTTATCTCTGATATTTGTGTGTCGATTATCAGAGATAGATCTGGTTTTCTATTTGGTATTAGAGGGAAAAAAATTTGAATTTGTGTTTTTCTCAAACTTCGAGTGGTTTCAGGTTATAGTGAAAATCGTGAATCTTTTTTTTATTGTTTAATTCATATTCAGGTGAAAAGAGATGAAGAGGGTTAGAAAAGAGGTCTACGTTGAAGCTCCGATACGAGGACCTACTGTTTCGTCTTGAGGAGAAACGTAAGCTCTTTTTGTTTTTTGATTTGTGTTCTTTTCAAATTCTGCTTTTTTGTTTGTTTGTTTGTTTATAAGGATATTAGTTTGATTTTTCTCTCATTTAGGATATTTTGTTTGATTTGTGCGATTATGCTATGGCTCGGTGAGACGAGATGATGATAATACCGTATTTTGACCACTTTTATGAATCGTTTTGAAATACTTTTTCTATGTTTTTAATTGCTTTCAAGTACTTTTATTACGTTTTTCTAGTATTTGTAGTTCCAAGGCTCTTTTCAGGTAACTTAGGAAAAAGCTTAACAAAATGGATAGAAAATCAGATTTCAGCTCAAACCGTCAGAAGTTCACCCCTGATTGAAGGCCTTCTCACCGTCTGATCCAGCTCAAATTTGGAGATCTTAAAGATGGAAGTATCAGCTTTTCAGCACACTTTACAGCTTGGCAATCCAACGGTTCAATCAAAAGATACGCGAAGAGCAAGATGTCCCGTAAACCAGCCGGCAAGCGTTTCCACCCGCGGCCAACAGAGCATTTCCCGCAGTCAGAAGCACCGCGACCGCGGCCAGCCACCCATTTCCCGCGGTCACACTCACTCCGACCCCGAAGGCCAATTTCCGAAGCCCGTATCATTTTCCCAGCCTCAATTCCGGAACCCTAGACACCAGAGAGTATTGGAGACTATAAATACATGTCATTTAGGTCGTTTTTTTAGAGAGAAGAGGAGAGACGAAATACTTTACAGAAATTTTACTTTAAGCTTTGTTTTTAGGTTTTAGGGAGAGATAGATCTGTCTCTTGAACCCTTGTTCTTTCTTTTTCAATTTCGGTTTCTATTCTACTTTTTAATACTATGTTTTTGATTTCGTTTATCATGTCTGAGTAGTTTTATTGTTGGGATTAAGGGATTTTCGATGGGGATTTATATGTTCGGTGAGGATTCCATGAGCTTTTGAGCCGAATCTTAGAAATTTTTCTTCTGAATTCGTTTTTACTGCATGAGAGTAGCGTCATGAACTACAATCTGATCCAGATGCTTGGTGACACGAAAGTGTTCATCCGGTGTCAGATCTAGTTTGGGAGAGCAAAACAAACATAGGAGTGGAAACCTACCTATGGGCGATTTGTGAATGCTGACGAGTCTTAAACATAATGCATCTCTTCTTTTCCAAGGCCAGAGTGGAAACCTACTGGTCAGGGTTGAGAGAGATAGTTGTCTATGATGACGACAGTGGCATATTCATACGTCCGTGACTCCAGTTCGAAAAGTTTAAGCTAAGATCTTATCAAATTTACTCTCTAGCAATGTTTTGAATCGTTTGTACCCCTGAGAAAACTTCCCTGAACCCCAGCGCCTCTTTTCTTATAGATTCACACCGTTTTATTTCAAGCTTTAGTTCACTATTTTCATTCCCTTTCAATAGATTTTTATTAAAGCAATTAGGTTTAGCCGTTTTTCTCGTTTTTACCCGTTTTCGTTAAGTTTAGTTATTAGGTCATTTTAATTCCCGTATTTTCTCTTTAGGATTCGTTTTTATGTTTTAAACACACCACCAAAACCCTAAAAAAATTTTCCTGGTTCTAGACTTCCTTACTTTATATTTCTTTCGAAGGCTTTTGCAGGAAAGATCCTCCTTCCCTGTGGATTCGATCCCTAAGTACTACAATCGATCAGCTGTGCACTTGCGGCTATTGATTTCATTTAGGGTAAAACTTGACAACCCTCACACGACCACATCAGATGACCGTTCTCACTTAGCAGTTCTGTTGCTTATGCCTCTTTTTATGGATGCAGGTAGTAAAGATGTATGATAAGCGTGCGCGACTAAGACTGTGAAGGAAAGGATCCTAGGATCTGGGTAGTTAAGGTCTAGTCAATGTAATAGCTTATATGCGAACGATCATTGTACTAAAACTTCGATTTTCATTCAAATATTTCTGCTTTAATCCACTTATGTACGGTTAAGTCTTGTCTAAACGAATCAAATGCAAAAAAGTTATAAAAAAATCCTAAGTAAAATCTGGACCGAAATTTGACTAAAGTGTTAGTTAATAAATAAAATTCGGCTTATGGTGCTACATTTTGCCTACCTGGCAAAAAAAAATATTGACACTTTTGTAATTACTTTTTTTAACAGTCCAAAAAAATACTTTCGAATATGCTAAGTTAGTCTAGTAATAAAAATAAAAGTGTGTCAAATTAATAATAAACATAGATTCTAAGATTAGTTTAGTCACTACAACAAAAATGGCATTTGATAGCACATTATTTTAGCGCAGTTTCTGTATCTGCTATTATAGATAGTATTGAGAGTTAGAGTAACTCTATCATAGCATTCTAAAAATGCTAAGCCAAAATAACTCTAAGCGGGAAGCTAAATTTTCTTTTCCTCTCATAAATTCACTAATGATCGCTAACATAACCAAAGATAAGATTCCATTTAAGTGTATATATCAAAAAAAATATACACGCATACAAAAAAATAAACCTTTAAAAAAAATTCCTTAAAGTAAGTTTCTATTATTCGCCTCTCTCAAATCTCTATCCTCACTGTTTAACTCCCTCTCTTTCCTCACTCTCTATTACCACCTTTCTCTCTCTCTCCTCACTCTCTATGGTCACCTCTTTCTCTAGCTCGCTGTTTCACACCACCCAAGTATTTGTGGTTTCTGATATTGCAGCTCTACGGATTTCTGGTGATGTCTTTTCATGGTTTTAGGGTTTACTAAAATTTCTTGTGCCTCTCATAAATCCACTAATGATCGCCAACAGTAGCCAAAGATAAGATTCTGCGTTTAAGTGTATATATCAAAAACAAATACACGCGTACAAAAATATTAGACTTTTAAAAAAAAAAATCTCTTAAGGTAAGTTTCTATTATTCGCCTCTCTCAAATATCTCTCCTCACTGTTTTAACTCCCTCTATTTCCTCACTCTCTCTTGCCGCCTCTCTCTCTCTCTCTCTCTCTTTACCCTCTTTGGCCGCCTCTTTCTCTAGCTCGCTGTTTCACACTACCCAAGTATTTGTGGTTTCTGATATCGCAGCTCTAAGGATTTCTGGTGATGTCTTTTCATGGTTTTAGGGTTTACTAAAATTTATTTTGCCTCTCATAAATTCACTAATGATCGCCAACAGTAGACAAAGATAAGATTCTGCGCTTAAGTATATATATCAAAAAAATACACGCATACAAAAAATTTAGACCTTTAAAAAAAATTATTTAAGGTAGGTTTCTATTATTGGCCTCTCTCAAATCTCTCTCCTCACTTTCTGACTCCCTCTCTTTCCTCACTCTCTCTTGCCGCCTCTCTCTCTCTCTCTCTCCTCACCCTATATGACCGCCTCTTTCTCTAGCTCGCTGTTTCACACCACCCAAGTATTTGTGGTTTCTGATATCACAGCTCTAGGGATTTATGGTGATGTCTTGTCATGGCTTGCGCTAATGGTGTCGTTCCTTGCAGCCTGTGCTGTTTGCAGTGGTTTTCGTTGGTGTTTTGATTCACAAATTATGCCCAAACCCATGAGTTGAAGGTTGGTTGTAATCAAATTTGGTTCTGTCTTGGTTGAAGCCTCGATATACCTCCCACTGTCTTAGCGTTCATGATAACGCCACTATACCCATATAATAGTAGCGTTTTTTGTGTATTATTAATACCCATATTTGTTGTAGGGAGTAATTCTTCCAATTTTATTTTCGTTGAGTATCATATTTGTTGTAGGGAGTAATTCTTCCAATTTTATTTTCGTTGAGTATCTTCCAACTATAGAGATACACAATACAGCAAACAATAGAAGATTTAAAAATGTGTGGAAATAAAAACTAATTCATCTCTAGGAACTCTAACAAAGTGTATTTTCACAAAAAAAAATAAAAAATTACGATCTTTAAAATAATATACATGTTAAAAAATTATTTTTTTTTTGTTGAGTATCTTCCAACTATAAATATATACAACACACAATAGGACATTTTGAAAATATGTAGAAATAAAAACTAGTCCATCTTTAAGACTTATAAAAAAGTGTATTTTCACCCGAAAAACATGATCTTCAAAATAATATACATGTTGAAACTTCATTTTTGTTGAATCTTCCAACTATAGATACATGATTCATCATATAATAGGTCTGTCATAGTAAATTATCAAACATTTAGAGAAATATCCATGAAAAAAAAATATATGGTAAAATGGGTGGTGAGAAAAAAGCACAAAAGTGAATTATTAGATTGTCAATCTATTGTGAAAGTTTTACTTGTCAATGATAAAATATTTAAATATAGCAAAAGCATATGAAATAAATTTGAAATCCCACTTTTGAAAACACTAAAAAGCCATAAGAAATCATAAAATTATTTCATTAATTTAATATATCAAAATAAAACAAAATTTTTTTAGTAAAATCATAGGTCCACAAATCAAAAATCTATTTAATAATTAAAAAAAAATCCTTTAAAGTTTAAACATTAATAACAATAAACTATATTTTTTAAAAAAATCTAAAATCTAACCAACTCTAGAAAATCCTAAAACCTAATCAAGAAAGCAGATACATCAAACAAAAGTATTACAGTGGTAATTCTATCTAATTCTATGTTACATCACATATTTTTTTTTCTATATAGACATGGTTAAAAACAGGTCATAATTTCAAAACTTAGCTAATTAGGAAGATTATATTCCTTAACAGAAGATACATATGCATGAATAAAAATCCCACTTTGCTACTAATTTACCCTTTAAATTCATTGTATATAAAACCGTGGCCTCATTTGACCTTGCAAATTAATTAGGAAAATCCTAAATTACCATTTGAAACACATCTATTTCACACTCCAAAGGTTATAATTAAAAAGGGAACTTTAAATGCATGAGTATATCCTAGTTATAAACACACTTGATTATTATCTCCGCATATATATACACATACATATGCATATACATATAACATATACAGAGGCCTTCTCTTCCCTCTGTTGCTCGCGAGCTTTAGCCTTTGGTTTTTACGGGTAACCTCTTTCGCTTCGCAAACTATTTGTATCTGAGAGAGAGAGAGAGAGAGAGAGAAACAGAGATAAAGCGAGAGAGATAGAGAGAGATAAGAGAGATCCAAACCAGAAGCAATCTTCTCCGTTTGCTTTTGTTTTTTGTTTCTTTCTCTTTTTTTCGTGTGAAGATTCGTATCTATTTTCTCCGGCAAACTCACGGCGGCGGATTACGTCGCCGATCCACTCTTCTTAAATCGCTTCTATGTACGTTTTATCTTCTT